GTAGTGTTTTACACTATAAAGTAAGTTAGCCAAAGCTAGACAACTGTTGTTGGGAGGTCAGTCTGACATCCTATTGCATCCACAGCCACTGGATCACAGGAAAACAGGTACATTGAATCATCCTTCCTGGCTACGTGTAGGGCTACACTTACGGTCTCGATGAGGAAAGATTTTAGGGAAACACTCAATAGCTCTTTCAAGTTTGCATTAGACCTGAAGGCAAGAGTGCTTCTGTCCCCTGATTTTTCCCCTGACGGTTCCGCTTTGCAGGTAGAGAAACAGCGAGAGTGCGCGTTGCTGCATCTGGTAAGCGCTCCGAGCAGTCACTGCTAGCCGCACGTATTTTCTAGCGCACTCGTTCACAGTACTGAATCTTATCGCTCTGCAACAAATACGATATGCGAGCGGCTAAACCGAATAGCTAGGTCTTTACTCATTTTTGATCAACTATAACAAGTGTGATAGAAAGTTTCATAGGGCAGGCTAGTCCGCTACGATGCTCCCAGGCCCTGCCCACTCCCATGTGTTTCCGAATGTGGCAGGTAGCCTCTAGCGTTTTGCCTCGCCCCCCACAGCACCTTTCTTACTTTTGAGGCCACTCACAGCCGACTTGGCATGCAAGAACGCATTTCCGGATCTGCACACCAGACATCTCTGCATGCCCCTGATTGCATAGAATACATAGGTACTCGAAAACGCAGGGCAAGCTTAATTGAAGCTGATGAAACACAAACGCATGTGCGAGTAAGCCAGTCTACATCAGTGCTAGAGCAGAGGAGCTCAGTCCGACCCCGCAAAGCAAGTGGAGGCGCGCTTGTAGGGCCTGTTTCATGACCTTTCAGAAGGGCAGGAACATTTAACGGGTCTCTGTCGGGAACCCAGTCTAGCCCTCCCAAGCCATTTTTCCAAAAGAAGCTGGACGCTAATGTATGAAAAAGGAGAGGATTTTACTGCATGTCAGTCGATGATCGTGTTCCTTTGTTTCGTCCGGTGCATTTCCCCTCACGCCTATGCCTCTAGGCGGTATGCCCTATGTATGCTTTGATATACAGCTGATGAAAGTATGGGGAACCCCAAGAGCAAAGTATATAATCGCTTGGCGAGTGATAAAAGCACTGCATGTATACGCTAGCCGTGTCCTCCTTCGCTCCTGTCATCCCAAATCTTAAGACCTACAGTCCTGCCTACAAACGTGTGCTCCAAAGCACAGTTGCTTTCTTGCCCCCCACCCGGATACCTTCAAGACGGCAGCTACTGTTCGCGTTAGTCTGCCCTCATGGGGCTAATGAGGGTGCCGTAGGCCCTAGACCCTGCTCTGTGAAAAGCTATCCGACTATTCAAGAAATGATACGTGTGTAATAAAGAGATTCCAATGATTGCCTGGTTTATGTGGAAAATGAATGACAAACAAGAGCGTCCACATACCCCTCTAGGCTGACGGCCCCGTGTCGGCTCAATGTTGTTCGCCTGCCTGCACGTAGGGGGCAAAGCTCTGAATCATAGCAAGAGGTGCAACAGCATCAGGCTGCTGCTGCAGCACCTTGGCCGACTAACCTGTGATGGGGCAGCACCGGTGACATGGACCGACTTGCTGCCATGATTTGAAAAACTCCTTGATCTGCTGCTGCGTCGCTCAGTCCAGTAGCTGCTTGCTCAGGCTTGAAACGCGAAGGGCTTAGATTCGGTTGGGCTAGCACTGCAGTTCTTTTACGCCCAAGGGAAGGACATATAATCCGAGGGGGAGGCAGAAGCAGTAGCGAAGCGTTGCACCCACTCGAAGATAATCAGATACGTGTACGTTATGTGGATATGCACACTCAAGGACTCGCATATACATACAAATATCCGTATACGTGTGCAAGGATACAGAAATTCGGATAAGGAGGAAATAGGCGAACACAGAAACGGGCCAAAAAGTGTACGGACTAGCAGGGGTCCAGCCACAGTAGACGCTAACGCATTGGCACTTACCGCAGAGAGAGCGGAGGAATACGTTCTATAATTTAATACAAATACACACATAGAAGCACAAGTACACGCACACACGTCAGTACGTCATACATATGATAGTATATCCTACAACTGTATGTCTGGCACGATAACGTGTGTGCGTGTATATGTGAGTATGCACGACCTTTCATGCACGGCAATAGTATCTAGACCAACAAAAGGCTGTGATGCGAACACACAAGGAGTGACATATGCACATTTACAGGTGTGGATTTATACCGCATACGCCTTGACAGATGTGCATGTTTACAGCGTTCTTATGACTACTCACATGCCCAGAAAAAGGCGTCGTTCAACTAGATTAACAAGCGCCAGTGAAGATGGGTTCCCTTTAGAAGTACGACCACCGTCGGCCTTCACTACAAGCGTCCTCTTCGTGTCTCAAGACAAGTCTCTTTTTTGGGCATGTGAACACCCATTGCCTAGGGCTTAGCCTTCGTGCGTTTCCTGCTGCCTTCGAGCCTCTGACTTGGCCACAAGCTCGACAGCTAAGAAGCCTTCGCCTAAGTGGTCATTGGCTTCCCGCTGATCCACTGTGACGAGTATCGTACGGCCCCTCAGGGGCCTTTGGAAAAGGGCTGGGATTACTTGCGCCTGCAGACGAGTGGCAACGGATCCTACCAGATCCTTAGCGCTGCTGCACCGCTCCGCATGCTCTATTGAGCCCGCAAAAATCCCGCGATCTGTCAAGCAAAAACTGTCGATGGGTAGGACACCCTCCCGATTCGCTCGCCCTGCCTCTTGAAATAGCGAATAGAGCAAGGGCGGACCGCCAGCTCCCGTCTGTATGTACACCTCGGACGAACGCTTCCGAACCATCAAATGCACCACGGAGGAGCTAGAGGAAGACATGCCCCCATGGTATGCCCACGCCTTGACCATCGGAATTAGCGGATCGGGCTGCTGCGGCTGATGTGACGGCAGTTGTCCTTTCTGCTCCTTTCGCGGCTTCTGCTGTTGAGGCGTGCCCGTCAGCGAACGCTCACTTTGCTGATGCTTCAGCTGCGCCTCGTGAGCCTCCTCCAGCGAGTCTGCTGTGGTCCCCGGCGGCTGTTCGGCCATCAATTGCTGCTGCGTTTGTGAAGACTTTCCCGTTTCTTGTGTTGGTTCCGCTGTCGCTGCCGCACTGCTACTATTGTTAAGTCCGTGTAACCCCTTAAGCAGCTTCCTGCAGCTAGAAACTGCTGCGCGCTCGCTCCCCGGATACGCAGCCGCCAAGAAAGAAAGAAATAGGGCCTCCGTTGAAGGGACCGCCATGTGGCCCCCTTTGCAAGGAGACGTGTGAATGCGAATTAATATCATAGAACGCCTAAAAAGAAGCAGCACGCATTAAAGCGTATCGGGCCATAGCCATGAAGAAGAAAATCGGGGCTTAGTTTTGAGCACACGGGAAGCTCATAGAGGCAGACAACGAGACAGACAGATACAGACGGAGAAATGCAGAAAGGTAGCGGTGCACAAGGTACAGAAGGCGCTGACGAAACAAATGCAAACGCAGGATCAAGCCAACCTCAATAGCCGCCTTGATAATGAAGGCAAAAAGCAGATCGACGAGAAGCAGAGATACCAGTTTCTTAGAAACGGAGAAAGGCCCATTTTCCCACTTTGCACCCCTTGCAAATGCACATGCCCAATACAGCTACTCCACGGCAATAAAGGCCAACATCCGTCTCTCCATCGAAAGCATGCTATAAGCTGCAATACTGCAGAGGGGTTCTCAGCTATCCAGTCAGCCACTGGTAGTGTACGCCAACTTACGTGAAGAAGGGGGAGAGAGGGAGTAGCAACAGAGGGGATTCCCCAAAGGCAACTCTGAGCTGTACACCCATCGCCTCCAAGTGCCTCTCTGTGTAGCTTTGCGCCCAGACCTCCAGAGCCTGAAGCCGATCCTCCTGCTTAAGCGACAGCAGCAGTGTTCTCAACCCGAACTCCCCCTGCTGGCTGTCCATAGCCATCGGTCGCTTGCTCAGCCTTTCTAGGAGGTGCGCACGCGACTGGTTTAACAATTTGTGCCGCCGTAATACTGCACCAGGGCTTCCATCCCCGTCAGCAAGGGGGTTCCCAGACGGCCTGCTGCCCAGGTAGGCAACCAAAACTGCCTCATTCTCTTCTGATCCGGCATTGTTTTGCTCATGTCCCTCCATCGGAGCTCTGCCGGCCCCTCCTGGTGTTGTTCCGAGAACCGCTGGACTCCCTGCTTGAAAGTGTTCGTCCTCTTCGTCCTCAATCGAGTACAAATGAGGCTCTTCGGCGACCGGCTTCTGCTGCTCCACTGCCTTGCGGAAGTCTTCGAACTGCTCTTGCAGCAACTCTGCATGCAGCAAAGGCAGGAGGCTTGCCCCTCCCTCCACTTCCTGAGCGCCCGCGGTCCCTCCCGGGGGCATCAAATCTTCCTCTGCAGCCTGCAGATTCCTCAAACTTATGCCACTCGCAGAACCAGGAGCGTCGACGTCGGCAGATGCCGCCGTCGCGCCCGCTGCTGCTACCGCTGCTGCTGCTTCCCCTCTGGCTTCCGCCGGGGTGGCCTTCTTCTGAACGCTATCTGGGTCAGGGGCACTTTCAAGCAGCTCAAGGAAAGGACGATCGTCATTCCGCGCCTCTGGAGGCCCCAAATTCGCCTCGGCGTGCGGACGTTCTGTCTTGCGGGGGCCGTCTGTACCGAGAAAAGAGACGCTGCTCGGTGGACCGTCTGCTGCTGTCGCGTCTGCCGTTCCACCCCGCCGCTTCCTTTGGTCCAAGTGAGACCGCAGACAGCCCTTGAAAGGGCTGTAATCCTTGGGAAGGGCGGGCAAGGTCTGGGGAGAGCACCGACCCTCGGCCACGCAGGTTGCCTGCGCGAGCTGCTCGTCAAGACCTTGCTGCTGCAGTGGCTGCTGATTCGAATCATGGCGCAGCCTCTTCACGTGGATCTCTCTGCCTCTGAAGAAATTACCTGCGCCCTTCTGAGCACAGGCGGAGGGAAAGGGGGGAGGGAACGTGTAGGCCGCAGGAACGTCCAGTGGGGCCCCAGACGTTCTGAGAATAAAGCTGAAGGACTTGGAGAGAGCCAACGCATACGACGCATGCAGCACAAGGGGGCCTATGGGGATGTTCAGCTGCGGGTACTGCACGGCCACCGGAGATGCACCCGCAGCGCTTATTTGCACGGCGTCAATCAAGGGCCCATCCACAGACAGCAGAAAAAAAGGCGAGCTCGTTCCATTTATCGGGGTCGTTCGGGTGAGTGCGTGCCCCGAAGAGGCGACAAGGTCCTGCAGCAACTGCAAAGGCGGTAGAATAGAACGTCTGGGAGCTCCCCACAGCTGAGCGGGAAGGTTCGAAAAGCGCTCTCTGGAGTCTTTCAAGGCCCACTCCGCCCGAATGGTCGCAGCCCTCGCCAGTACGGACTCGCCAGCACTGTGCGGCAGAATCCGCGCAAGCATGGGCACCTTCGACCCCAGCAACTCGTCAGTTATCTGGCGAGCGACTCGCCTGAAGAGAGTCACACGAAAATACGCACACACACACACACAAGCCACACCACCGAAGATGAAGGGCTCCGCCGCAAGGCGAGTCCTGTGAGTCCTGTCGGCTGTCCTTCTCTCCCCCAAGTCAGCTTCTGCGCTTGCACTTCTGTGGGCCGTAATGCCACTCTTGCAGCGCCACAGAAAGAGGAACGCAAGCGATACATCCGCGATCCAGTAGCACCAAAACCGTCGACCCCAATAAAAAGGCATTCAAGCCGCCAAAGTGAGTTCGCTGCACGTCGCCAATTACTTTGACGGCAATGATACATTCAGACTTCGATGTACTGTCCACCCAGAATATACAAAAGTCTACCTCTACATATGCATATCGAACAAATCTCACAATGATCTAGCCCACGACTTACGACTCATTTTAAATATATAAAAGTATATATATATATATATCAAACAAATCTAGCGATCATCGTCAGGCTTCAGCAGATAGTAGGCAGCGAGTCACGAAAAAGGTCAGCGGATTCGGCATACTTGAATTCCACTACTGTAGCACGAAGGTCTGGCCTGGCTGCTTCGTTTTGTCCTCTCTTAACCTCCTTCCCAGCCTTCCCTGCTGCCTTCCTCCAATGCACCGGCTGCAGCTGAAAGGTTCTGGGAGGCTCCTGGACTTCGACATTCTCAGGCTCTGTCACCACAAATATTGGGATGCTGCAGCACAAATCACCGAGCACCCTTGAAGCCATTCTGCACTGCTCCTGAGCAGCGCCCGGTGCCCTTCAAATTCAGCAGAAAGCTTTGAAAATGCGAGACGCACATGCCCTGCAGCAAGCCTCCTTGGCTGCGTGGGGTCCTCAGCCTGCTAAGGCCTCCTGCATTTTGCCTCATGCCGTTGCGTTACTCTTCGGGGAGGGAGTTGGCATGAATAGTAATACGCGGGAGGGTGGAGCCAGGGGCCATACATGCGCTTGCGTGTCTTGTTCAGCTTGTGCAGCTCGTGCAGCAGCAGCTCTGCGACTTCTGTTGCGGTATACCCCTCGCAGCAACCACTCAGATCGGCGAACGCCGACCCGCGAGTCTTTATTTCTTCTAGGGCATCGTCGGCTGCAGCTCTAATCCTGATTTCCTCGAGGACTGCAAAGTTGACACGCGTCTGCTCCTGGCGCTTCTGTTGCTCGAATCGCTCCACCAGCCGGGGTTGTGCCTCACGCAGCGCCTCCTGGAATTTCGTGCCTTGATCTGCTGACCACAAACGCAACTTGTCCAGCTGCACAAAAAAAACACACAGCGCCCGCGCATACGGCAAGCTACCCACACGCAGTCTCCGCACGTTCCCGCGAGAAAAAAGCGACGTGTACGAGCATCAACGCGTTCGCTACCTCAGCCCACAAGGCACAAGCCCTTAAAACCAGCTCGAAAGACGATGGCAGAAACACCGACCTCACAAGTCCCCTCTCCTCCCGTCTCCCCCAAAGCATTTAGACCCTCAGACTCGTCTCAAACTAGAGCCTACGTGCTCGCCGGCAATGACGTTCACTTGCATGCCCATTTTGCGGAGATCCTCGGTGACCTTGCGGAAATCCGCAGCCAAGGAAGCCGCTTGGTAAGCCGCGCTCACATAGTCCTGCATGCAGTGCATGCAGATAAGGAATAGCAGCCTATCGCATTTAATCAAAAAAACGAGACCTTTAGCAGCCCTAGTACTGCTTTTCCGCCTCCGCCGATCTCCCCTCCCCCTACATAAGACGGCCGCTCTCCCCCAGCCAAGCTGTGAACAAACGTGCTCTAATGCGTGTAGGAAAAATACCTGACGGAGAGGAAGGAGGCGAAGCGCCGCAGTACCCGCCAGCTGGCTCCTGAACTCGGTGGCGTTCCCAGCTATGTACTCCTCTATTCGACTCTCTAAAGACTCGGTTTGCTTCGTCAGCCGATCTAGCAAGGACTGCGAAGGATGCGGATGGCCTGCAAAGACACTCAAAACAATCTGCGCCAAGTATTTTTCGTCCGCGCACCCTTATTACCCCTCGATAGTGTGCAACGCATACTGTCCAAAGGGCACTTCTCGAGGCTTCAAACGGGGCTGCTCTCTGCTCGGACGCGCCTCTAAAGCGCCGTAGGGGCTGCTTGGCAGACAGCGAGCACACGCCTGCCTCCTCCACACTTCGTTCGCGAAGAAAAATCTCCACTCTGGATGCTGAAGGGAAGGACAGGCGAACACGGAAAGTCACTCGCCCCCGTCGACATCGCGCGTTTGCACAGTAAACGTACTGATGCTTTCGGAGGCCATATCCAAATCCTTGACGGCACTTTTAAGCCAATTGATGTCGTAGCGCAAGCCGTGCATTTGACGGGAGCCTCGCTCCAACTGAGCCTTGAGAGACTCCTCCGCTTCCACCATTCTTAACTCGTGCTCACGTTGCTCGTGACGTAGATGGTGTCCATGATCCTCCTTCTCCTCCAGGAGATGCCCCTGAGGCGCTTCCGCCTCCTGCGCTACTGCGATTGCTGCTCCTGCTGCATCAGCAGCCGCGTCGGAGTGGGGATCCGTAGCAGCCGACCCAGCAATCTCCTCGAACAATAAAACCTCCGGCTCTCCCTCCCCAGCTACGGCATCTGCATTCACCGACTCCAAATGATCCGGCAAAGCAAACACGTCCGATTCTTCCAGCACATCGCTTGGCCCCTCCCACAGACCTTCCCCAGCATCTGCTTCCGACCCTCGTGCCTCCCCATTGTTGGAATTCCCCGAGACTCCTTCACTGTTACTTTCCCTTGCTGCCTCTTCGCAAGCGCCCTTCAGCACAAGCTGCCGCCGCAGCACAAAGAGGAGCAGCGATGACTCCACTAACCGCATGCAACGCATCGTTGTTGCTGCAGAACGGTATGCAGGCTGAGGCGGGCAACTTGCCAAAGACGCAGTGGGGCAGCAGCAGCTGCTGCTCCTGTCGTAGCCGTTGCTGCCCCTCTGATGTAAGGCCCACGAGGCACAGCACAGCACACCACCAGCAACTACACCAACAACACGGTGAACGGTTTGCAGGCAGTCTCGCTCCTGCTACTCCTTGGCGGCGTTGCAGCCGAGACTTCAAAGGCACCTGGACGTTCAGTCACAGCAGCAACAGCAGCAGCAGCTGGAGCAGCTACAGCTGTTTCTGCTCGGAATGCGTAGGCGCTGCATCGGATGGGGAGCTCCTTAGCCCCCTCAAGAAGTGAGTCACTCTGCCGTTCCCCCCTGGGGACGTCCAAGCCGCGCTTTATTGCGCAATGCCCAGTGTGGGCTTCAGGAGGAAGCAGGCAACCAAGAATCGACACCTTATGTGCCTCCCCTCAGCTTTTTGTTGGAGAGAGCGCGAGGAGACGAGCCTCAGCGGCAGCCGCAGCAGCAGCTGCTGCTGCTTCCAATAACACTTGAAAAACAAACCTTTCAAGAACGCCGGCTAATAGAGCAAATGGATCTACTGCAAAAAGCAAGAAGCTTTTAGCAAGTGGTGGAAAAGAGGCTTCTGCCTCTCTACTTCTGTTACGGGGAACGGCAGCTAGAGCACCTCCGGGCTTCTTATGCTGCGGCTCCGGCTATTGCTGCCGCCGCTTACGCAGCCGACGGTGTGGGACGATGAGGCCAAAGCGGCGGAACGCATAGCATATTTAAAATGTATGTGCATTTCTCGTGCTGATTAGCGTTGAAGGTTGAGTCTTTGCCGCTGCAACAACGGCGGCTGGGGCGGAGGTTTCGCAGCCTCTGGCGTCTCAGTCCCTGCCTTGCCTCTCCCGACTTCCGGTGTATGTACACCTACCGCGAGTCGTACATTCTTTCCTCTCCATGGCTGGCCTTGGCAACACCGCTATTTTAGCAGCAGGAAGTAGCAGCGGCAGCACCTGCGCCACCAGCATCAGCAGCAGGAGCTGCGACTCTAGACACGTGCAACTGCCTCATTGAGGTGGACCAACCCCCAAGCTGCGGCAGCCCTCTACACAGCAATTTCGGCAGCCTCAAAACAGCAACAGTACCACTAGCGCCGAGTTGATCATAGCCTTAGCTCCAGAAGAAGCGGGAGGATCGCCGTAGCAACTGAAACACCCTTTCCCGCAACAGCAGCAGCAATTCCTCACTCTTCGGCTCTCTGCACTTGTATGTCATATCATGGCGAATGCTCGGGGTGCATGCATCAAGTCATGCGCAAGGCTGCTGGCCATGCTGCTAGTGCCTCTTCTGCTGCCTCAGCAGGCCTTAGCCTTCGAGGCACCTGCGCATGAAGCCATCTCCATGACAGCTCTATCAGGTATGGCTTCCCTAAGCCTGGTGCTTGCATGCCAGCCTTTGCGTTTGTTTCCCTGCTTATCCCAACATCCCTGCCTCGCCCAAAGCCTTTGTATGCATTAGGCGCCACAAACTGCGTCCTTCCCCCCGCCCGAGTTGCAGCTCTTTTGCCCCTTTTCAAGAGGCTGAGGCGGGTGCTACCCCACACAGCGCTTCTTGAGCGGCGTCTTTCGATTTGAAAAAAAGTTTCACTCGTGGGAGCTCGTTGTGGCTGGTCCTGGCTCACGGAGCATCGCGTTTTCACATGCGCCCTCTTCTGCTGCGGACCTTCATGCGCCAAATTCTCGCCTTTCTACCGCCCCTATGCCTGAGTTCCCGCCTCTATGTTACAGCGCTTCTGCACACCACTCCCCCGCGCACACACTGCAGTACAGCGAACCTTGTGATGTTTTATGCGGGATCTTGGGGCGTCTGGCTTCGCGGTTTTAAATATATGTATATATATAGGTGCAACAGAGAGTGGCACGCAATGCTGCATGTACAAGCCCTCATGGACGGCCGCAAATGCTGATTTGTCTATGGGTGGAGGCTTCGCTGAGTGCATGTCTTTGTTTGCTGCCGTAAAGGACTCACAATGCAGGCGAACCAAGCCCTTCGTCGCCTCCTGAATGGCAAGGATGTCGCTGATGTTTCAGGTAGAACAAGGCGCCACCGCTCGCTGCTGCTGCTGTTGTTGTAGGTATTGCTGCCGCTAATGTTGTAGGTATTGCTGCTGCTGCTGCTGTAGGTACAGCTGGGGTAGTGTTGCGTCTCTGATGCGCTGCAGGATGGGCTCACCGCGTGACTGAAAAGTACCCCTTAACGGCTCCGCTGCACTTTCAACGCCAGCCTACTTGCCCTTCCCCGCCCCCCACACAAGCGAATACCAAAATAGAGAGGTCCCTCTGCAGCAGCTCAACTGCAGCGCAGGATGGCTGCCTTTTGGAAGCACTAACTTACTTTTTTTACCGCCTCACGGGGCCAGAAAGGAACGCTGAAATCCGAGATGAGGGTAAGGCAAGGGGATTGGCTGGGGGCCGTTGCTGTCGTTTGGTGAAATTCAGGGTGTTTTCGAAGCATCTCTCAGTGTACGTACAGGGAGCACCATCGGGGAGTGAGAGCAGCAGCACATTTGCAAGGGCTAAGCTGATGAGGGTTTGTGTCTTGCTACAGACAACCCAGTGGTCAGCACGAATCAGTTCGTGTTTCCCCACGACATCAATACGACGGACGCAGACGCGGTGAGGCACCCGATTCATATGTGCACTGTGCAGACACCCCAGTTGGGTGTCTTTGTTGCCGTTGGGCAGCGTAACCCTTGTACTTTTTTTCAGGGGCTAGGGTGTGTTCTATGAGCGGCGGTGGATGTACAGGTGAAATACGTCATCAACTTGATCGGCGACATGCACGAGCCTCTGCACTGGGGATCCGCAGAAGATGATTTTGGCCGGATGATTCAAAGTACGTGCAAAAGCAAGGTTCCGCTGCCGCCTCGCAGAAGCGAGCCGACCAGTGGTTAATGGCTAGCATAGGCTAACGACTGTCTATGAAGTGTGTTTGACAGCACAGCTCGGGTGGGGTTTCTGGTGGTGCATCGCGCTGCCGTGGACGGCAACTCGGTGTACGTGCTGCCTACTGCGTGGAAAACTCCGTGCAGCAACACTGGTGACCCGAAGGGCAGTGCGTGATTTTTTGTTACAGTTGAGTATGAGATCGAGGGCACGCGCGAGAAGCGCCGCACCAATCTGTATCAATTTATTGAGGGAGCGTTCGTCAATAAGATCATGGGCGAGAGGCAAACTTTCTGGTATTCAGGTCTGTATGGCACACAGTGGTTCCTCGCGGAGGCTTAAGCGGGTGCTGGAGTCTGAGCACGCAGCGCGCTTGAATGGAAATTCAAGAAAATAAGCACATCGGCCGTCAGGCCGTATTGTCGGCAGGCCTCTCTTCAGCCTTAGGTTTTTCATCAAAACGAGTCGGGGGTGGAAAATTTATGCGGCACCGGCCGTTCGGGGGAATCCGGCCGTCTTTGTTGACTCAGCAGACGTAGCTGCATCCTGAGCTACGATTGTGTCATGGCCTCTATGCTACGCCTTGCAGGATGGACGCACGTAAACTCCGTGAAGCCCTTCTACGAGGAGGAAAAGACAGTCTTTGCAGCGAGGAAAGAAGCCTACTTTTTGTCATGGGCAAGGGAGAACCGGGCACTCCTCTGCTCCGAGGTCCGCACAGCTGTCTTCCTTTAGGGTGATTAGCATTTGTTCTGTTTGAATCCGTTGACATTTCATGACGCACAGAGGGGTAGTCAGCCTGGAATTAGGTGTAGTATTGCAAGAGGCTTCTAAACAGCAGCAGCTGCTGCTGTGTAGAAGCCCCTGCTTCAAAAGCTACGGTGCAGTGCAGTGCAGTGCAGTGCAGTGCAGTGCAGTGCAGTGCAGTGCACCTGCCGCAGCAACCGCAGGCTCCCCGAGTGCAGGAAGTGGCATGGCCCTGCCTACTCATGTGGCGATACTGGTGGCTACGTCAAGTAGAAATAGATTTTAAAGGAACAGCAACTGGCTGACGAGAGACGCGAAGCAAAGCAATGAAAGGAATTGAATTCTGACGAGGTCTTTTGCCCGAACGCTGTGGTCTGCCCGTTCTCTCTTCGTTTTGCAGATTTATCCATTAGTTAAGCGGATGGTGAAGAAGAAGGGCGAGCCGAATGTCTATGTGTTGGATAGAACCTCGGAGTTTCTTTTCTTTGATATAATCAAGAAGCGGATTCTCGTCGCCGGCGCAAGAATTGCAGTTGTGATGAACCACATCCTTCAAGTGTGTATGAGCACCTGGTCAAGCTGCCTCTGTTGCTGGCGATATGTTGAGTACGCAATTTTTATAAGGTGGTATTCTTTCTAATCAGATCGATATCTTTTTGGCTGGATCTGAGAAAGGACGCGCTTTCTTTCAATTCCTCATGTGTCGATATTTGCAGGTTAGAGGACTAGACGAAGGGCTTGGCCAGTTGCGCGCCGGTAGTGGAATGCAGGACGTTCGTAAGTCTCCTTGCTTCATATATGAATAGTTTACGCTCACACGTGATGGTTTTAGGTGCCGGAATCTACATTTACCGCTGGCCCTTTTCCTGTGCCCCGCTATTGCACTCAAGACCGCCAGCGACACGGCGCAATCTGTTTTGATGGCTCTTGTACATGTTTTTGTAGAGGATACGGCCGATGCCAGACCACCTCCTACAGGCGACGCATACATTTACTTCAAGAACTTTCTCATCAACTTCTCTATATTCCTCTTGGTCGTCTTGTTTTTCATATACATTTCACGCTTCTATAAAAGCACTCCGTCTCCGGCAGCCCTCACATCCCGTTCCGCAAAGGCGCCGGACGGAGCAGAGTTGGAGGCGAAGGCCAACTGACGGATTTAAATATGTGGCACTGCTGATCTGCTGCTGTGCCCGTGTGGCGAGTGGCGAGCCGCTTGCGCTGGCTGGTGTTTTCTTTCTCGTTTTGAAGATATGCTTGCATGCCGAGACGCGTGCATGCGGCCGCAATCGCGCAGCAGCGGGTACGGCTTTTCTGTGGAGGCCGGCGTATCGGGCCGCCCGGCTCCGTTGGCGGATTCGCCCTAAAAAGAACCCCAAATTCATTTGCACATACTATTTAAAACATGCGCTCTGATTTGCACATACTATTTAGAACATGCGCTCTGCTCGGAGTGGCTACCTCGTGCAAATCCTCAACGTTTTTCCTCCATTTCGATTGTCACGCAAGCCCGCATTACGCAGGGCGATCCACATAGGGCTTTTGCCTCTCCGTTCCCAGATTCGGAGCCTCTGGCACTGAGGCTACGCAAATTGAGGTTGAAACACCCGCTAGAAACATCAGACAAGGAAGAAATGCTTGACAGGTTTGGTCACTGGAGCTACGCATGAATTGCTTTCGCTGCTGGTTCTGCCCAGCCATGGTGAAAGAGCAAGACCCTTGTCAGTCAGAACGCAAGCCCTACCCTGCAAGACGCATGCCTCAGTATTTTTCGCGTTGGTGCATTTTGGTGCCCATATTGTATTTCCTGCTACTGGCGCAGGCCGTGAACTCTCCACGCCACGCGAAGCAGAGAGCACCGGAGAAGAGCAAGGGCAGAAAAGCGCCGGAGAAAAGGCCATGTGGGGAGGCCAGAGAGCACAAGATCGTTAAGCAGCCCATCTAAAATGATCAGCGAGCGTGAAGAAAAGACAACGCTGTCGTGTGTGTTGGCTTTTGTATCCCCAAAACAAGTCGAGCTGCAGCCAGAGGCGGTGCTCAACGATGCAGCCAAGTGAAGCAAGGTACTCAACTCGGCGGAACGTTGCCGTCCCGCTGTGTCTCTCCACCGCCCGTTTGAGGCTCTGCAGAAGCTGTAGGAGGACAAGCAACCGCAGCACACAGAGAGACAAACACACATACACACATGCATGCATACAGAGAGTCGAAGACACGAAAGGGGCAGCAGTACGCAGGTCCACACAAAGATCCCTTCCCCTTCCAGCTGCATGTGTGTCTTGCGTAGGTCGCACGCCACGCAGGCCTTTTTTCTTGTCATAATCAGATGCACGGCTTTCCTATTGAGACGGGGTGGAGGCAACACTCCTCTGCGGGGTATGGGGACCATGCTGCCGGATGGGGGTTAGACTACTGACTGCCAAGAAGAGGTAGCTCGCGAGGTCTTCGTCACAATTTGTGGATGCAAGAGTCCACGCCAGTTCATCGGATTTCACGCGGGCTCTCAGTCTATACTCTGCCACAAAATCCCCTAAGCTTATTTCCGAGACGCTCACTTTCGCCGCACTGTCCAAAATCCTGCGGCTCCACAATACAAGAGGCACTGCCAAGGTAAAGAACAAGAGGCACTAACAAGGTAAAAACAAGAGGTACTGCCAAGAGGTAAAAACAAAAGGTACTGCCAAGAGGTGAAAACAAGAGGCGCTGCCAAGGTAAAAAACAAGAGGCGCTGCCAAGGTAAAAAACAAGGGGTACTGCCAGGGTACAACCGGGCTGCAGCAAATACTGGAAGAATAAAGGCATCAACGACTGCAACAGCAGAGATGCTTTGATAATACCAACCAGTTGACAAAATTTGAAACAGGCAGGGGCGAGAAAAGGTGTACTCCTTCTCAAGGGGCCTGTTGGCAGTAACCCACCTTCGTGCATCTGCACTGTGGCGCATAGGAGTTGCGGAATCACAGAACGCAATAGAGTCGGGCGTCAACCGGTCAAGAGTCACGAAGGCAGAGGCTTGCATGCCATCTGCTGTCACTATGAATGTTTCTTTCGCCTTTTTAAGCGCTAACATTGTGGCCTTGTGGTGCTTCAGCCTGTCCAGAGGCAGCACCTGACAAGCGGCCTGGAAGAAGAATCGAATGGCATTAAACCCTACACGCACGCATGCACGTACATACATATACATATATAGATATATAGATTAAAAATATGTCAACAAAAGTGTACGAATTTCTATGAACAGCCCGGTTGGAGCAACTGCCGCTGCACCAGTATTCTCACAATATTCGATGTCTGAAACAGCAGCTTCCGCCTGGAAAGGCAGACTGGCAAGGGTTTTCCGGAGGCAGAGGTTCACCACTTCATTACACGTGCTGCATGTGAGGGCAATGTGCAGCATATCGATCGCGCTCAACTGCTGTAGCAGCCACTGTAGCAACAGCAAATGTACGTAGCGCCCGTCCTGTTTCCGCATGAGAACGGTCAAGAGTGGGCAGTCCAGTGGAGGAAGGGCCTCGGCTGTACAGCCACAGAGCAATCAACATACTAACAGGCAGCATGGTACATGGAAAATCCATTGGAAGGTGGGAGCAAGGACAAATAAGAACAGACGCTCAGAGAGGTTTACTCGAACGCCTTCAGCTGCATCCTGCTCCGTCTCGCAATCTGCACACCACGTTGACATGGGCGAGCACTGCCTCTCCCCTTTTCCCCAAGTGTCGCACTGACGGGAGAGTCCTTTGGCCGCTCCGATGATGAGGTAATTGGGAAAAACGTTGTACGCGCGAGCAACCTCGCCTGCGAACAGCCGTAGCTGCGAAGTGCCTGCTTCCTCCTTCGGCTTGGGCGCTGCCTTCGGCTCCATCTGCCTTCCTAAGAATCCAGGCGTTTGCCGCTTCAAGAAGCTTGGAGTAGCATCTTTCTTTGGAGCTGATGATCCTAAGGACCCCGTCGTCTTTTTTGCCGGAGTGTCCAGCTGCTGCCGCTTTTGCCGCGCCGAGGCTTCCTCCAGCTCTCGCTGCTTACGGGCTGTAAGCAGCAGCAGCGCCAGATAGCGATCCCTTTCCACGAAGAGAGGCAGCAACAGTTGGAGTCGCTCCATGTCTGCGAACGCAGCAACGCCAAAGACCGCGTGCGATGACTGAGGGGGGATGCTGCAGCGTAGACAGCCGCGAGCGGGATACACGCTGCGATAAACGCTGATGCACTAGGTTCAAGTCGGATGCAGCGAAGCCGTAACGCTGCAGTATATACCAAGGGCATCCTGGAGAAGCTGAGTCGCTTTCGAAACGTCAGAAGGCTTCTTTTTGACAAGTTCTTGCTTAAGGTCTTCAGGAAGGCCCCTGGGAAAGTCGGCCAAAAATTCCTGCTGCTCTGATGAAGGACTTGCGCTATTTTCATCGCTGCTGGTATCCATCCCCCCCTCCTCCTCCTTCTGCTGCTGCTGTGGCTTCTGCTGCTGCTGCGGCTTCTGCTGCTGCTGTTGCTTCTGCTGCTTCAGCTTTGCTGTTTCACGTTCCACGAATGGCTTGCCAGTCATTTCGTTGAAGGCAGCGGAGCGGCTTTGCTTCCAATCCGTCAACACGGCCATAGCAGCACGCATGCATTCTGCACACAAGCCGTGTACTCTGCACAATTTGGTTCAGCGCCCATTGGCGTTTCTTCTGACTTTATGAAAAAACTCAGTGCTGATGCGGCTCCCCCAAGTGCTTAGTGCACCTCCCTAAAATTTAAAGGGATTTCTTGCCTGCATAGATCTCGGCAGCTTCCTGCCAAGCCTTCACTTCACAAATCTTGGGCAGCGCTAACAGAGCACGCCGAGCAAGGGCCTCCGCAGAGAGGGTGTCGTCTGCCCCTGAGGCTTCCGCAGAAGCCCCCTCCTTCTTGGGGGGCCCCTCCTTCTTGGGGGCCCCCTCCTTCTTGGGGGCCTCCTCCTTCTTGGGGGCCCCCTCCTTCTTGGGGGCCTCCTCCTTCTTCGAAGCTTCTTTTTTAAGAGACAAGCCCATCCGAGAGGCCCCCTCTGCTTTGGCATCAGATTTGGGGGAGGCATCCTTACCGAGCACAGCCTTCGAACTTTGTATAGGGGCCGCTCCCTCAGTTTTTCGTCCAGCGGAGGAGTCCAAAAGCCGCTTTCTCTCTTGGTGCCACCTCTCCCCGAGGTACACTCTCAAGGATATGAAGGCCGCATCCACAGCTAAAAGCGCGAAACAGAAACAGCATGCTTTTCCGGAGGGTCTTCAGGCAGTCGCGCAGACTAGGCCCTTTTGTAGACCGGTATATCGAGCAGCAGGTTCCATAGCGCATAGCAAAAAGCAACACACGACAACCTTTGCGGAGAGGACGCGAGAAAAGCACACGCTCTAGTGCGTACCCCTTGAGTGTACGTCCCCAAATCTGACCTGGTATTTTCTTCATCGCAGTCGCAAGCGACGATTCAGGGATGTGCGGGCTTTGTTCGCTTATGTGCTTCATAACTTCCACCTTCAGATGCGCAGCCGGACCAAGGGAGGCGGCAAAGGCTTCAGGGTTTGCTGCAGCATAGGCTGCAACTGCTGCCGCTGCGTCCATTGCATCTCGCGTTTGTGCAATCTGCTTCGCTGATGAGGAGCCTGCAAGGGGGCCCCCCCTGGTGGAACCCGTCTCAGGGCCCCCGTCAGCGCCTCCCTTGCCCCCCAAAAGTTCAGCAAGAGTTTTTCTAGGAGCCGGACCCTTCTTTTCAGCTGCCAATAAATCCGCGAGGCTTCTCTTAGGAGCTGCCTCCCCAGCTGCAAGCTTCAATTTAGCGGGTGCTGATGGGGACTTAGCCGACACTGCCGCTTTGCTGCCTTCCTCTTTTGCTACTGCCTTCTTGCCTGCTGCATCTGGTTCGGGCGATACTAATTTTGGTGACGGAGACGCTGGGGGAGGCTTCGGGGGGAGATCTGGTGCCATCTTCGGGGGCTGCTTTGGCATTAGGGGGGCCTTAGGAACTACCTTCGGCAGAACTGCCGGCGAGGGGATAGTCTTTGGTACAAGCTTGGTACTGGGAGCTTCTTTGGGTGTAACTAGGACCTTCGCAGCAGCAGCAGCTGTGGCGGGAGCTGCAGCAGGCCCCTTAGGCAAAATGGCAGGCTTCGCAGCAGCAGCAGCTGTGGCGGGAGCTGCAGCAGGCCCCTTAGGCAAAATGGCAGGCTTCGCAGCAGCAGCGGCTGTGGCGGGAGCTGCAGCAGGCCCCTTAGGCAAAATGGCAGGCTTCGCAGCAGCTGTGGCGGGAGCTGCAGCAGGCCCCTTAGGCAAAATGGCAGGCTTCGCAGCAGCAGCGGCTGTGGCGGGAGCTGCAGCAGGCCCCTTAGGCAGAATGGCAGGCTTCGCAGCAGCAGCGGCTGTGGCGGGAGCTGCAGCAGGGCCTTTAGGAGGAATGACGGATTTAGAAGGTGCCTTAGGAGCTCCAATGGATTCAGGATGTAGCGCAGCAGGAGGCTTCGCCTTTGGGGGGGGTACTGCAGCTCCTGCTGGAGCTTTTTTTGCTGCTGGAACGGACGAAGGCTGACCAGGAGGGCCCTTGCCAGAAGCAAGAAGGGGTTTGCTGGCGATCTTTGTTCCTGCTTTTGCAGCAGTAGGAGCACCAGCGGCACCAAGCGGTTTGGCAGCAGCAGCAACAGCACCGCCTTTTGTTGCTGCTTGAGGTGGCTCTGACGCGTCGTGGACTCCCAAAGGCCGCTTAACTTTAGAGACGAATTTAGTCTTGAGTTTGGGGGCTGCAAATGTTTTGCCTTGATGCTGCTGCTGCTGCTTGAGCAGAGCCTCTCTCATTTTGGCCTGCTGCTGCTGCCTCTGCTTCAGAGTCAGCGGCTGTTTGCCTGCTGCTCCTGGCTTTGCCTTTGCTTCGGCTGCGGCAGCGGAGCCAGCGGCGTTCCCTCGTCTAAACAGCGACGCCATGGTGCCTCTGCTCGCTGTATCCTGCTGTTATGATGGCGGCTGTTGCATCTGCACAAGCGCGGGGTCACGTGCTTGTGCCTGGGATTGTGCTGCTGCTGCTCTTCGTCTGAGCGCCGCTGCTTTGCTGCTGCCCCTGCGGTTCGGTTTCAATGCTCGATGCGAAGGAAGTGGTGCTGGCCACCTAATCAGCATCGGGATTAGTAATGGCAGCAGCTTGAGAAGGTATGCACAGTCTGCAGGGGCAAGGCAGCGAGCGGTTCCCCTGTCCGAGTCGCACGGGGTGTCTCTCCAGCTTCTCATCTACAGAATACAAGGAACACGTTCACGGACTCCCCCTTTATGAGTCGCCGCTGCTGCTTCTTCGATTTTAGCTCCTGATGCTGCCGGTGTTCGTTGCAAGTTCGAGCGGCACCGGCGTTCTTGCTGGAGGGCCGCTGCCGACGACCAGCCGTGTCACTGCAGCTGCAGCAGCAGCCCGACGCTGCTACTGCTGCAGCTCCCCGTCGTGTTGCTTCCCTTTGTTCATTCGAATCGAGTCAAAATTTAATGGAATGGCGAGGATTGCGCAGCGTTGCTGCCACAGCCACCTGGCGTGTTGGGGGGTGGAGGCGAATCGTGGCATCCCATTGACGCGAGGACGATCGGCAGCCGCAGTGGGGCCCCTTGAGCAGCACCTGCTGGAAACGCAGCCACACCGCAAGCAGCCTTGCATCAGCGCTCGCCAGCAGCAGCCAGTCCGCGGCGGATTACTCGCACAGCAATTCTCAATCTTTTTTCCGCGGGGAAAGTGAACTAGTGTGCCCTTGATAGGCTCCTACGTTCCTTCTTTCCCGCTGACTTCAGCCTCCTGTGTGTGCCATCTCCACCACTGCGATGCACGCACTCCCTCACCTCTGTTCACTCTCTTCGCCGTCAGTCATTTACGGAGATTTGTAAAACTTGAACGAGCCAGAAAATGGAGGAGGAGGCCCCGCGGGGGCTGGCGTCGCCGCGCCGCAACCCCGGGCAGCAGCAGCAGCAACAGCAGCCGCATGCGAATGTTCTGCTCCCATTGGTGGTGCTGGGTGCAATGGCATTGCTTCCGTCTCTCCTTTCTGCTGTAGGCAACCTTAATAGTGCCTTGCGCAGCAGCAGCAGTGGCAGCAGCGGCAGCCCTGCCGATACCAGCAGTGTTAGCCACGCCAGCAGTGTCAGCAGCCGCATGGAGTGGCTGCTGCAGCCGCACAACCCTCTTCCAGATGTCATGACACCGCATCAGATAACAGTTCAACTGTGTGTATCCTGAGGCACAGCCGGGGCCCTACAGCAGCTCACTTTATTCCTAAATCACCACCTAGGCCACCTGGAAGGCTTTAGGGTGGTCTCCCTTCATCATAACCCCGCCCCTTTGGTTCAGTTCCTGGGTTCTGCAGTGGATGCGACGCGTTGGCTTCTGCTGCTGTTGCTGCTACTGCCACGGCAGCTGCTACCTCTGCTGCTGCCGCGGGAGCGTGCTGACGCCTGGATTGCTGCAGCTGAAGGGAACAGGTTGATGCTGATGGGGCTTGTGTTCATTGGAGGCAACTTAATAAACAACTTGCTGCTGCAGACACGGGCCTTTGAGATCTTTTATGAACATGACTTGATATGGAGCGCCATAGAGAGGCACGCCAGGGGTCTTTCCCACATGCCCACAGGCACCGAACTGTTGGAGGCTCTTGAAACTGCGGGGGCGCCTATCGCCGGCTGGAGAAGATTTTAAAATTTCTGGCATGCCAGTGCCGACGTTTGGAAGATATCTTTTCCCGAGCTTACGGTCTAGGGCGAAGGGAAGCTCTTACAGGGGTAGCAACGGCCTCCATATGGCGGGAGGTGTGGCTGAGGGGTCGGTGGGCCATAGATCCATCAGCTGGTTCCCAAGGAAAACATCCTCATGCTTGCGATTTGTTTGGAGTGAGGATTATTGCGCACGAATGAATGGGTTCCCGCAAACCCTTAGGGGCGGGGAACCTAGGAAGAGCTGCGCTAGTCCCCCAAACACAGGGTATGCTAAGGCAACAAGTTTCGCGCAGTAATTCAGGCCAGGGTTTAGGACGTAGATCTAAACAGCAGCCATTCTGACGCTCTGAACGGCACAAGGTTTTTGGCACTTGCTGTGGAGCTAGATACCAAAAACGGTGAATGCGAGTGTGGCGTGGATACAGTGCTGTTTGGGCCGCACGATGTGCCCTATGCGTCTAAAAAGTCTGGTTACTGCAGTCTTTTTTTTACTTTTGATTCTCAGCAAAGCAATTCCAATTCATCTTTTGGGTGTAGAGTTCCACCTGAGGTTCCCGTAGGCAGGCACTTCTAATTCCGGATCTAATACAAGTGGACAGCGAATTATTGATGATCTTTCAAAAGAGCTCTCTCTGACAGTGCCCCTCATATGTGAGACATAAGCTCTCACAACGGGTTAGGCTTGCACACTTGGGTCAACTGCGTGCGCGATTGAGTTCACGACAATTTATATAAATTCGATATTTTTAAAGGAAGCCAACGTAGTTAGTTCTGTGGCACCTCCAACTTGTAGAGGAATCACAGAGTAAGAGAAAGCACTAATTAATGAGAGAATTGCAAGTAATCTCAGCTATCTGGCCGCAAATCTCTTCGTATAGTCACCTTGCGCAACGCGTAAGCTTGCTGACCCACCGGAACCAAAACTATACGCTCAAAACATCAACCGCTGGTTATAATTGCATGCTTCTCTTCTTTGAGCTGTGTGCAGACATTAGCGCACTCTACGAACTGTTTTCTAGAATCCCTCCGCTGCTAAGTGCAGCTGCCGACCCCAGACCACCAGGTCTGGGCAGGAATCGATGTCGAGCTCCAATCTGTAGACGGGGCGTGCCGAAGAGCAACTACTATGACGAATGTACTGCTGTGCTATCAACCATCCATAAGAAACAGAAAAATCAAGCCAGGCAAGCTGAATCATGTGAGCGCAGAGTCTCAAGTATCGCAGAAGTGTGCGATTGGCGTGCTTTTCTGTCCACTGGCCTGAGGGAGACTCCCCATCACAACATTTTAATGGTCAGTGTGTACGTGGGCCATAAGAACACTCCACAACACACTAAAAACCTTTACATCTGTAGCTTCTATGGAATCAGTGGATTAGGTTGACCCGGGCTGATTTGCTGGATCTATCCACAACGGCGTAGATGCTAGTCTGACCTTAACATCTGGCAATTCAACAATCTAGCGCATATTCGAGTCAGTCCAAAGCGTTTTTAGCAGCCAAAAGACTTTGCAGAAGGCTGGATTTAAAGCACTATAGCGGCTTCAAATGTTGGCGCAGGCGGGACGCCTTCCAGGCCACCACGAAGGCCGAAAGAGCTTTTCCACTGTAATATCAATCCCACCATGGCCCGAAAGAGCAAGTCATGCGCCTTGCACAAAATGGAACTGCGGAGTGAGGTCAGAAAATACATGCGACGTGGTCCCTATGTGTTTGAGCCACACCGCTCCATCCTCAAAGTGGTAGTGCTTCGCCCCTTTCCATTCTGGATTGTGGCAATAGTAGCAAACGTATGGATGTCAAAAGCATAAGCCTCGGGCAACTTTTACAGGAGCCACTAATCATCAAAGACATTAGCAATCGCGCTGCAGAGCAATGAATCACGGGGGCACCACGAGATCGCGTCGGCGACCACAATGGTGACGTTTCCCATATACATGACTGTACAGCCGTACTGCTAGAGGCGCCCAAGCCAGCGAACAGCTTTACGGTCATCAAAGGCCTAAAAGTGTTTACAAAGTATACCAAAGACTGATGGTCTGTCTGGACAGTAGAATGAGGCCCATAGAGGTAGAGCTAGCATTTTTGCACGCCTCACCTTACCGTGCCAAGTTCCTTTACTCGCAATGGATATTGCTGCTTGGTTGTGCTAAAACGAATAAAGAAGCAAGCACTAGCGTTGTGCTTCAACAAGCCTTAACTTTTTTGAAAGAGAATAACACCACTGCTACGCCACTAGTATTGGTTTCTACGAACGACGAAAACTCATAATGGGGCAAGGCAGGTGCAAGAGGGGTTGTAAGGCAGCGAGTAAGCGTCCTTGCTGCCTCCTCTGTCAAAGTCTCAGACAGCGTTTCCTGTAGTATTACATCAAAGAAGCAGCGATCCGAGCGAATTTGCGAATGAAAGCTCTATAATACGATGCAAGCCCATAGAACGTCTCAACGTCCTTGCGGGTGCGCGATGGTAGAGAACACGCTTTCACTGCTTTATTTTTTGCCGGACGTGGCTCCATGCCTCATGCCGAGAGACGGGATTCAGTAACAATATTCTTCTCATTAAAATAAACGCATGCTTGCCTTTACATACTACTGCTTGTCCCTCATGAGATGAAACGCACACCGGTAGCTGCTCTAAGTGCTCTTTAGCGTTTTGGCTTTGCACTAGGGCGTCGTCCATGTAGAGAGCCATCCGCCCCTCCTTGATGGGCTCCTAAACGTCCTCATTATTTTGCCGCTGTAGTTAAGTTGAGGTAATAGGAACTGCAAAAGGTGGTGGCGAGTGCAAGTACAGGGCATCTTTTTGTGCCTGTGATGTGGGTGAGGAGGGATTTGTAAGAAAGAGTTTATCGAATCCAATATCTAGCAGATTGCTTATCTGAATAGCCTGTGAACTAGCTTTTTGATGTGAGACATGTGGAAATCTTGCTTCGCAGTGATCTTGTTCAGAAGCTTGAAGCTAACGCACATGCTACGCGTTTCGTCCTGTTCGACACCAATAGTGGCTTATGCCCAAAGCGCGTTGTCAAATCCTGCACTGTGCCTTTCAGAAAGCCGCAAACCTGCCACGCAGTCTTCAAGGCATGCTGCGGTGGCTTTTGATACAGCGGAACAAAGGTCTAGATTCACCCAGGTGTTCGCCTCCTACGTGGCGGCGGATGACCAGCAGGTCGCAAGCTCGTCGTTTTTAAGCACATCCGCGGACTCTTTGATATTTCCCGCTCGTGTGTGACTTGGTTGAATGGTTCATCATAGTTTCTGATCAAGAACCGGGTGCAAAGCCAGTAGAACAATATGCATGCTCTGGAACGACTTCTCTTACTGCGCTGGTGAGCCACCGGCATGACGACTCTGCTGCACCTTGTTGGGGTATCAGCTCTACCTTGCCCTTCATAGATCGCATAGCGCTGTTACGTAATACCAGGATTTGATTTTCTAGCCCCTTCCGGAAACCTAAACTCCACAGCGCGCAGCCGTGGCCGCATGCGCTTCCTCCAAGGGGTCTCCTTCAGCATACCTAAGATTATGTTGTGGTATTCCGGTCCAACATGCAAGACACAGACCATGCTAGCAGATCTTGCTTGAGGCTATATGTTAATGTTATAGCCTTGCGTAACCCTGCATTCTGATTCGCGTGAGCAAACCAGAGGCTTAGGGACATGGCTAACGAGTGAACCCGCAGATCGCCATTCTGCGACATCTCCTGTGACAAGAGATCCGTCTCATATCCCGTATCAAGCATAGCTTACAACTTTGGATCATAATTTTGCGCTTATAACAGAACTGCTCGTCGATGGGCTCGTAAGTAGGGCTACATACTCTGTAGCCCCCGTCACTGCGCCGTAGCCTGCTTGGGGGCTTTCCGTTCCTCTTTTGTGCATTCTTTGCTCTCCAAGCAGCTTTATTCCGGTAGGATCACTTTCGCTGTTCAAGTGTATGCGTTGGCAGCTGCGGATCAGACGACCTATTGCCCCACAAAAGAAGTGGGTGCGCTGTCCAACGGGGAAATCTGGTCCTACTCAAGAACGCGGGCACTCGGGCTTTCTTTTTCTCATTTACTTACGAATTTAAGCTGAAATCGGTTGACATGACCATGCATCCATAGATTCTAAATCTCGAGTTGGCTCATTCTTCATATTTCTTGAAATGTCGATCTATTGTCATATTTTTTGATTCAGCTTTCTCAATCCTCTCCAAGCTTGCTGCTGAACTGATCTCAGCACAGACTATTGAATCACATCTTGTATAAAGGCGTAAACTGTAGTAATCCCTGCAGCCAGGATATGTACTCTGCGTGAATGGGGCTACCGGTAAAGTGCTTTTCTCTCCAATAGACATTTCGCAAGGAGCACACGCCTTTTCAACTGAAGTTACAAAGCGAGGTACATCTCCAACAGGGTAATGGAATCGTTGAGTACTTGCCCCTCCTCATAGCCAGTGTACTGTTGCGGTTTCCATAACCTAATTGATGCATCCAAACACACTTCGTCGGACGACAAATGATGCTTTGACACCAGCTCTGGGGCTGGTACAATCACATGTATAAGCTTCCAGGCCACATCCTAACTGGTGTGATGCTGTTGTAAGCTTCCTTCGGTAAAGAGCTTCCTTTTTAGCTGGTTGCGGAGAAAGGGTCCTGTTTAACTACAATATAACGATATCGAGACCAACCAGCTGTAGAAGGAACACCTGATATCCCACTGTATGCACAGCTGGTGAGTAGGCAGGGAACACTTGCATCGAGCGATGCGGCACTACCAACTATAAGGCGCCATCTAAAGTCCTCGCATGGAGACATCTCAATTCAGACTCAAGGCAAACAAGTGACAAAATTACTCAGTGTTTCTTTCAAATCATTTCATTCTCTGCTGGTAGCTTTTCACAGTTGCCGACGTGGCGGCAAAGACACAGCTAGGACGCGAGTAACTCTACCCTCTCGGCACTCCGAGCATTCCAAGCTAGTCGCACATAGCATGAAGGCGACCTGCACTCAACACTGCGTCTTCTTGCTTTAAACTCACACTACTATCACATAAAGAAGATATGAGAACAAGCGAATAAGCCAGTTTGTGCTTTAATGGTTCTCAGTTGAATAGAACTGGTGTAGTAGAAAGTGCTGGAAGGTCTTAGCAGGGAGACTTGTCACTTCATACTGAATACACACCAAAAAGAAAGGTATGACTGCTCTTTACGAGGGGATCCGAGGGGAATAAACAAGAAAAGGGGTGAGTTCTTTGGAGAAGCAGGTAGCAACCTTAATTTAGGTTTGCGTTGAGTCTGTAATTAATTGCCACCCTGGGGGTACCCCTGAGGGAGCGCCACATCTCGCCCACGCGCTCGTAACATCGCGCCGTACTGCATCGAGCTAGGACTCTTCTGCAATAAAATAGATTGACAAACAAACATACCAATTGATCAACACTTTGCAGATCAATATCTAAAAGTAATCATTCTCGTGGAAGATGTTTACGTTCAGCAGAGCGCGTTCCATAGCCGGCTATACGGTTCAATACCTATTAGCTTGCAACAAGTAAAAAATCCAGCTTACCCCGGCATTTATCACAGTCCGTAGGGAGACATCAGATGGGCAAGACCAGGACCCACGAATGAAAAGTACAGCAATACAGAATACTGCACAGGGTGGCAAACTCCGCTGATCAGTGCATTATAACTCCCTTCTTCGTTAACAAATACGGTTGTTCTCTTGGAATTCATTCAGTTGCTTTGCCAATGGGCCAGCATGTGCGGCTGTGGCTGACGTCCACACAACCTGCTCATGTGGTAGATCTGACGAGACAATTACCAGTCCCCAACATAGACCGCCCCGCATGGTTTCGTTCACATCGTTTCGACTCGTGAGTTACTCTCTCTAAGTTCAACAGTTGTACACGCATAAGAACGCTGGCTGCATATCACAGCTACAAAATCTTATTTCTTGCACTGCTAGCTCTACTTCAGAAGAAGGACGATCCCGAGTTCTTTCTCGGACATATGCGAGAGACAAGATAGTACAAACCCATGTCCTAAGTAAAACTGAACAGAAACTCTTTTTTTTAGCTCCAGTTAATTGATTAGCTAAAATATAAACAGCGGGATTGCTATGTCTCCCCATTGCATGCTCGCTCATGTGTCGTTGTACTCGCTCAGCCACCTTGACTACACAACTCGGGACTACAGTGTGGTTCAAGGTGGAATTAGTTCACGGAAAATTAATCGCTTATATGATATAAACTGCTTTGTTTTGTCCGGTTCTACCACAGAATCTGCTAGTATCTAAACAGCATGCTTCCAGATGATCAGGTCACACTATAGGTTTCGTGTTTAGGTACAGTATGGCCCCACCACCCTGTCTTTGTTTGTGAAAACCTTGGCTTGCCTGTCCTTATCATTGCATTTGGAGCCCATACAATGTAGTGGCTGAAGCGTGGACAGCAAGGATATGTGGTCTCCTCCCCATTCATTTACCCATACCGTCTTGGCTTGTGGATTTTTCGCTGCATGAAGTGCCTCCCATAAGCCCTAAAATGGCTAAGCCTTATGGTCGGGGGGCTGATTTGGACACGCCCAAAACGTGGAAGAGGCTGCCAGCAGGGCAGTGTCTTTCTTTCTATTTTCCTGACCATGCTGAAAACTTACAAGCAGCGGAGGGGTACTCCCCCCTCTTCTGCCATTCCATCTTTGGAGATGACGAAGAAATACCCGGTTTCGAAGAGCTGAAGCTTCAGATCTTTTTTTCTAGCGGACTTCGCATGCACACCCTCGTCCTAGTAGGCTGATGGCGCAACGCAGCTGATACCCTCCCGTTCTGCACCCTCGCGTGTCTTCGTCTACCTTTATCTTAACTGTTTCCGATTCCAACCTTTCTGCATCATCCGCTTCCTGCTTAAATGGCCAATTGTGTTTAGCGCATGTTATAGTGTTCGTTTCACTCTCCCTGTTGTTGTCTACCCGTGTGTCTGCCCATCCGTCTACGGGTGCATCCCCATGTGCATTTCCATCCAGGCCACTGGATCTCCATGTGAAGCCATTGGCGGGGGAGGAACTAAGACACTGTGCCTCTCTCGGCGAGGAAGTCATAAGCTGCAGGGGGAGGCTCCCTGTTGGCGTCACTTGTTGGACTGTTTGCTTAGCGCGCCCTTCCCTGGGGACTTCTGTGAGACTGAGGAGGAATTTTGTGCTTTGCTACGACAAGAACATAGCTGGACCGCAGAGAAGGATCCTCTCTTAAAAGAAGGAAAGCTCTGGGCGGAGGCATGGGACGAGAGCAAGCAGGCGAAGCTCCAACTCTTCTCCTTTTCGGTGGCGCGTTACAGCACCTCCCCCGGAATAGCACGAGTTGAAGAAACAGCGGGAGACGCAGCAATTGAAACACCACGAAATGTGCAACTGAGTGCATTTGAGACCCTTCACAGGCGGCAAGAGTGGCTGATGCGGTTTTACATTGACGGCACTCGGCCGGTGAGCACGGAAACCCTTAAATTACATGCACAGAAACCGACATTTGTTTGCTATGGTTTGGTTTTATCTGATGCTTCCAGCTTCTCTTCTTTATCAATGCTTCCACAACATGCATTGTTTCAGCTGTACAGCCAGCAGGTCGGCCTTATATATATCTTGCAGTATGCAGAGAAATTCCTCCCTCCTTTCCAAGGCTTTAGAGGTTGAGAAGCACGCAGCAGAGAACGAAGCAATTTTCAATTAAGCCTTTAAGCGGAAGAATCTTAGCTTGTGGCATTCTTCTCCGTATTGATGCCTCGGATGAATCTGCTCATCTCTTTCCGTCGCCTTTCTGGTTGTTCTGCTGCAGCTGGAGTACGACTCGCGTTGGCAAGTGGTGCTCCCATTGTACATCCGTGAGCCTAGAAGCGAGTCACTTGCTTGCTGGCCTAATGGAGCAACTTTGCAAAAGAGAGCTGCATGTACACGCCAAGCGGCGGAAGGCCTCCTGCAGCCCGATCAGGAGCATCATCAAGAAACAAACGTGCAAAATTCTTCATATTCCAGCTCCACCCACTCAAAGCGTCTCAAACTAGCAAAGGATGCTCGCGAAGGAGGAAAAGAGGGAAGTGCAGACCCCCTTTCGGAGGTTGGCAGTGGCGACAACTTCAGAGCAGCCCTCGAAAGCTCTAAGGAAAACAGCAATCACAATGGAGGAGCGTATGAAGGTTGGAAGGTAGCAGCTGACACAGTGCCTCCGCCACAGCACTCAGGGGCAGTGCTGCAACACGCGACGTGTTCCAATAAAGAGAGCTCTCCCCCGGGCCGTGGTGCACTCCCGTGGATAGAAGTCGTTGGTTGCATTACAACATACTCGTTTTATGCCATGACGGGAGGCGAAAAGCTGCGAATCAGTCAGGTTCTGGTGTTTCCGCAGTTCCAAGGCAGGGGTAAGGAGTGGTTTTCTGCTGCAAGCCAGCCAGGGACGTGAATTAGGGGAGAGACAGTTTCGGATTGGTAGATGGAAACGAAGTATTGCAGAGGAGAACCCTCCTCTCGTACAGTTTGGCGTTTAGCAGTTAAGAAATAACAGGCAGAGGAAAATATCATTGAAAAATTCTCGAAGAACCCAAGTGTCTCGGAGCTTAACAGTCCCAGTTCGGTCAAACAATAAGGGATTGCTTGCGCTGCAGTTACTGTAGGAACAACCTGTGGGGAGCCACCATGCGCCTTGAGGCTTTAGTTTTGTTCCATGTTGTGCTGCACAACTGTCCGCGAACCACAACTCTGACTGCATTTGCAAATTCAGTTTCCTTATGATTCCTTGTTGCCCGTATATAGGCCTTGGTTTTCGACTCATGGAGTGTATATACACCCTGGCTCTACAGAATCCAAGAGTTTCAGCAGTACTGGTGGAGAACCCGGCCCCTTCATTCAGTCAGCTGCGCGACGCCGTCTTGTTGTCTCTGTGCTTCTCGTCCGGTCTTCTCTCCCCTCAGCTCCTTCGTCCTTCGTGGGAAAGGGAGGAACCCCTCATTACTGAAAGCAACGGGGTAGACAATAAGGAGAGCCAGAAAGCAGCGACCCATCTGCCCCAGAAGGCACGCGAGATCCTGTCGAGCTTCACCAAGGAGACTCCTGCTCAGATTACCAGGTGCAGAATAAGCAACAGTTCATCAATGCTAGAGCTTCGCGCACATACATTTTGCTCTCTGTGCGTGTGTCCTGTTAGCCTCGGATTTTCGGGATAGTGAAATGCACGTGCTTACTCACACTCTAAGATGTTTTTACTGTGGAGCTGTTTCTCTCTGCTTGTTGAATGGAGTTGGCATCTTGAGTCAGCTTGACTTCTTCCATTGAAATGAGGCTGCTGTGTCTCATCCCTTTTGTCAAGACTGTATGGGAGGTGAAGGCTTCTTCTATTTGCTCTGCTTGATACGCATGTGACAGACTCCTGGATATACTGCAGCTCGCTGAGTTATTGCCCATGTCCTGCGGCCCGGGGGAAAACCCCAACTCAATCATCACAGGAGCAGGAGGCAGAGGATGGCGAACTACCTCACAACATAGACAACAAAATGCCATAGTCTCTGCCGCTCATAAGGGGACTGAAAAGGCTGCCAAGGGCGGCTGTAAAACTGGCGACGAGAAATTCCCTTCAGTGGCCTCTGAAATATCGTCTAAAGCGCATTCTGAGGGAGGACTTGAAAAGCGCGAGGAAGATTTAGATCCGTCTTGTGAAACCTTTTCTGCATTGCGCTTGCGGGTAAAACGCCGTCTTTGGAACGAAGCGGCTGGAGGGCAGAAATCCTTAAAAGCAGAGGGAAAGGCAACATCGTGGAACTCTTCGAATGTCGTTTCTGAAGTGGTAAAGCAGCAGCTGCAGAAAGAATGGCTACTTCACTTTTCGTCCTACTGCAGGTGAGCAGGCTAAAATCTAATCGAAAAAGCATAATGATAGACTAAAATCCAAAAACAAAGTTGTTAGCACCAACCGATGACAGTCGATGTAGTTCGTTTCTGCTACCTTTTGCAAGGAATATTTCAGCGAATCCATCTCAGGATTCTCATCTCTTGATTGCTTTTGCGAATTGTACAGGACGCTAAATCTGCTAAGGCGACGTTTTCTTCCGACATGTAGCGTACAGCAGGAACAAACGATAGCAAGAAGTGCATAAAAATCGATGTTTTACAACCGGCGTGAACGGGAACATCTACCGCGCTCCTGAAAAATAATTGCAAGTTGAAGGTGACAAGCCGCCCGATGCCTGCTCAACACGAGAGGCAAGCAAAATTAGCTTACTTTGGCAATAGGTTGTCGTTGGCGCAACGTGCTGCATTTTAGAAAGGCGAAAAGAACAAATAACACATAGAAAACGAAAACCTGAATAATTGGAGGGGCCAGTGGACTTCGACATACGGGTTCATTAAAGTGAAAGAGTTGTAACAAAAGTACGAAATGGCAGAGGGCGGCAAGTGCAGTTGGACTTCATCCTTGGGCACAGCGCCAAAATTCTACATTGAGCTTTCAATATCTCTTACGCTTGTTCAAGTAGCAATCACGCTCAACCCCTTAAGCCCCTGATGAGCAAAGGCAGCAAGTCAATTAATTGATGCTACCTAGACCTGTAAGTAAGGGGACAAACAACGCGTGACGCCATCCCCCAGGTGTCCAGGGGAGGTAACCAGCCAGAAGATTAAGGAACAAACATGTAGTTCACATGGATTTTTTATTTTGGTCTCTGCCCCCTTCGCTAATTGATAACTAAATTTGTTTGGATTTTTCACAGTGTTCGCACCCAACCGGAGGCTACATCTTCCAATTGCTCCAGGTCATCTTTAGGATACCATCCTGCAGACTAATCTTCCTCTATAACACCACAGGAAGGGCAAAGTCATGCGACTTGGACGGTATGTCTACGGCTGGCACCCCTCATGGGATGTAAGGCACTGTCGGGTGTAGGGAAGGGAGGTGGAAGATCATATTAAGACTTTTGCGTCTATCCGCCTTCCAAAATTTGCACTCCGAAGTCCGTCATTTTTTATTTCTCTAGGCTTTGCGGTTAGCCACTTCACACGCGTCAGCGCAGGGGCAGGGATCCGGCGGCGGGTCACAAACAAGTGGCTCTTTTGCATACCCTCACCACCCCCAAGCCCTGCTCGGATCGTGCACACTGCAGTGCCTGCGATAGTAGGCGGCTGCAGTGTGCTGTGTGTACGCGCCATCGGCGCAGGGAATGCAACGGAGAAATGCCTCAGTGCTTCTTGGGTAATGCAGCTCTCGAAAAAGGTCAGAAGATGCTTGGTTTAAAGACACAAATATACACCGAATAGTTTCCGTTTGCTATTAGCGAAAGAGGGCACAGGAAGAGGGCAAAGATTACTCTACAGTACATGCAGCGACACGAGCGAGGAACAATCGACCCGTCCACTGGTGCAAATAGTGTTCGCCCAACAAGACCAAGGACAGAAAGGAGTGTCCGCGTTTCTTATTCCATTCATTCATGCGCTCGAGGGTACTCTACAAGATATATGAAAAGGAGCATATAATTGTTATTGTTACACAGGTGACTGGATGCATTATGGGAGCGTGCATGCGCACATCCGGTTGGCTCCGCTACGACTGCAGATGTCCCTTGTTGCCTGTCCCCGGCTCCACGATTTCGTCATCGAACCTACAGCTCACCTCGTTTTCTGCACCAGTCTTTCTTCATTCTAAACAGCGTCCTCCCGCCCTCTCGCTGTTTTCCATAACTGTATTTTAGAATGGTGGTCTCGACCTGTCAGCGTAACGCCCCATCTAGAATTGCTGTCGGGAGAGACCTAGCCTCATAGTCAATAAAACGCAAATGCAGAGTTGTTAAAAACCTTTCAAAAAATGCCCCTTGGTCCCTTTCTCTCCCTTACAGGGCCCCTGCATGAGGGGCGAGTGCCAGCTTGAGAGTGAGTTTAAAGACACTTTGGCGCGCTCCTACTAGTAAGCAGCGGATGCGCTCCGGCTGTGGTCTCCAGAGGGACAAGCGTGGTCCCAAACTTAGAATGAAGCCTTAATGGAAAATATCTACTGTCCTTGCAAAGGAGCTGACCATTATGGCTCCACCAAAGGTTTCCGTAGGGAGACACTGAATCCCAGACCTGGTACAAGCTTAATGCGAAGTTATTGATTGTTTCTTAAGAGTTCTCGCCTTCCCGTACCCGCGTCTCTCAAAGTTTTCAGCAAAAGGGGAAAGGGGCAGCTAGTTCCGCGTAGCTGCACCTCACAGCACTCCGACAATTCACAGCTACATGCACGTGGCATTTAGCCGCACACACAACATTGCGTCTTATTCGGCACGGATCATACTACTCTGCAAAAACTAAGGCATTGTCGATTCTTTAATAATGCTTCGTGAAGTACAATGTATTGTAATATAAAGCGCTGAAGTGCAGTTTTGACCGCTCCGCATTCCACGTATACTCAAAGCATGCACCCGCGCATTCCGTAGCTGTCGGCCAGGACAAACTGCAGGCACAAAAGCGAAAGTCTCACCAACCTATCGCTACTTTCAGGTAGACAGAACAGCGACATCAGTGCAAACAGAAGTGCGAATGCTTACGTCAAGGGCCAAAGAGAGAGTAAAGGGGAGAAAGATGCTTAGCGTTGCCCACAATAAAGGAGGGACCAGGCCATCACGACCGCGGTGCCTCGCTGGCTCGCCGTCCTCGAAGTGGCAGACCATATGAGCTTTTTGCCACGCTAATGCAGAAGAAACTCGCACTAAATCTGTGTTTTCTCTGCTCCTCCTAGAGGAGCTTCTGCATGCAAATGGAACCGGCGCTTGGAATGTGCTTGACTTGAGAACCCCAAAAGAGGCATAAGGTAGAACGCAGAGGCAACACAGCTAAAACTCCTTGATATGAATCTGATTGTAAAAATTGCAGTAACAATGACAACCGGGAACTTTGCAAAAGACGCTCTAAAATGAAAGTTGCTAATTCAGGCACAGGACCACTGATGGGAGAAGGCAAGTACTAAGGAACAACCTTTAGGGCAACTGGAGTTGTGAGCCGAACAGAACCGCAAATCCATCTCCCCGAGGCAACACAGCTTGCAATTTATCCTTTTTCAACCACTGAATTTGGCGTTCCTCAGCCAATACCACTAGAAACTTCCGTATTGTGTACCCTCAGCACTCAGAAGTCCAAGAATCTAACGTCTCTACAGCTCCTTGTGGAATCTCTTCCTCCGAACAAAGTACTTGCCCACACAACAAACACTAAATGATTGATTTGGGACCCTTGAAATTCTTGTAAGAATTCAATATCAATAGATCGGCAGGAGTTCCAACTTTCAGAGCTGTCGGCAGAGTAAGGACAAGCAGTATTTCCAAAGAGAAGTGCAAGTGGCCCTAGCCACTGAGCCTTAATCGTGTTCATCGGATAAAGCTTTGGTGCACCTAGTAGTATTAGCCGATTCATTAGGGTCAAATATCCAGGCTTGACACACACAGC